TTAAACTACCATCATGATTAAATCCTACTCTCATCCCTCTGTCTGCACCACACACAGCAGAATGTGAATGGGGGAGAAATACACCTGTCCTACTTTAAATTCATCAATACCAGCCTCAGTGGGCACCTATTACCATCCAGACACCAAATCGTATTTTCCTATTTCATTCACTCCCTGCTCAATGGACAGCTATTTCTTATCTTCTATTCTCTCCTCACACTTCTAATATTTCCTCCCTGCCCCCACCACTTTTTGTTTCACAAAGAAAATGAAAGCAATTAGGAGAGAACATCCTCAAGCAGCCATCACCTCTACCCACGCGCCAGCAGGCATGTTCACATGCCCTTCCCATTACAGCTGATGCTAGCAGTGTGCAATATGTCCACCTGGGCTCCAGATCCTGTCACCTCCTGTCCAGTAAAGACCAGATCCAGCAATTCTCACCCTCCCCACATTATTCCTATTCTTTTTTATCTGGGTCAATAATATGTAATTATTTCTCCTACTTTTTAAAAAAGGTCTCAACTTGCTTTTCCCATGGATCCCCTATTCCCCTTTCCTTTACAACAAAACTCCTTAAAATTAAGAACTTCTTGATTTGCTATCTCACATGACTCTCCTCCTATCGCCTTTTTAAATTCAAAAATAAAAACACATCCCACCACTCCAACAAAACTGCACTTGTAAAGAACAGCAGCAACTAATGACAAATTCAATGGTCAATTCTTGGTTTTGTCAGCTGCATTTGAAACAAATACTTTTCTTCTCCAAAACACCTGAGGATGCTACACTCTGATTTTTTCCTTCTATTACTCACGTTCAGTCTCCCTTGGTTTTGGTTTTGTTTTTTTTTTTTTTTCCTCATTTCTTTAAGCTCAACACACAGAGGTGCCCAGGCCTCACCCACTTTTCTAGGTACAGGTTGAACATCCTTAATCCAAAAATCCAAAACTTCTGGAATACCAACAATGCCACAGTAAAACATTCCATACCTCATCTCATGTAACAGGTCTCAGCCAAAATGCCAGGTGCACTATAAATTTTGTATAAAATTATCTTTAAGCTATGTAAGATGTATATGAAACAAATCAATTTCATGTTTAGACTTGAGATCTCTCATTATGTATATGCTATTATTCCAAAATCTGAAACAGTCTGGTCCCAAGCATTCTGGATAAGGGATACTCTACTCACAGTAATTCTCTAAGTTGTCTTATGTATTTTCATAATGTCCAACATCATCCACAGGCTGGCATCCCCCAAACCTCAATCCTGAGCTCCAGATACCTTTACCCAACAGCCTGTTTCATAAGTCTTCTACTGGATGTTGCACTGGGTCTCTTCTACTTTGCCACTCCAAATTTACCCTCTGCCTTTCTCCATCCTGATCTGCCCCAGGAGGTAGATGTATTATAATATATATAATATATCAATCACAGCAACAACTGTTTTCTGGCTTCTTGTAGGTTAGGCTTATGGAAGCCTTAGAAGGAGATTGGCAAAAAAAAAAAAAAAAAAAATAGGGTGCCCCTCTGACCCTAATCTCAGGGGGGTGGTCTTGGCTGGTTGTGTCTCCTAACCAAAGATGATATTAATCTTCTCAAGGTAAACCCGATATGAATCTCTCCTTCAAAGTTCCGGTAACATCTCTGCTGCTACCTGCCCTCCTGACACTGTACTACCCACATCTTTATAGAAGGAATTTTACCAGAGGAACCATCTAATTATAGTAAGCATGCCACTTATTTCTTACGGAAATTTTGACATACATCTAACTGGCATCTCGATTTTAACATATGCAACACCAAACACCTCCTATAGTTTACCCATCTCAGTTAATGGCAACTCCCTTCTTCTGGCTGTTTGGACCAAAAACCTGGCATTATCCTTACAAGTGTTATTTTTTTCTCTTCATATCCCACTTCCACAAGTCCTTTCTGCTCATCCCTCAACACAGATACAGAACTCAACCATATTTCACCATATTTCAACCATATTTCACTGTTACCATCCTGGCCCTACCTGCTACCATTGCTTGCCTACATTATTGCAATAACCTAACTGGTCTACCTGCTCCACCTGCTCCCCAACCCCTTGCCTGTCTTTAGTTCCTTCCACTATAACAGAGTAATCCTGTTAAAATATGAGCTGGCTATATCCCTCTCCTCTCCAAACCTCCAATGTTTCTCATCTCACTTGTTGTCAAAGCCATCTACAAGTCTCCACATGATCTGCCCACATGATGCCCTTCTGATCCCTTTGCCTCCTTGCTCACTTTGTTTCTGTATGCTGGCCTTCTTTGCTATTCCTATATCCCATCTCAATGTCTTGGAACTTTGCTATATTTGTTTGGAACTCTCCTTCAGCAAATATCCTTAATGCTTCTTCCCTCAACTTCCTCAAGTCTTTATTCAACTATCATCTTCTTAGTAAGACCTTCCCTAGCCACTCCTTATAGAATGATAAGAGCCCCTCCCCACTGCATTTCTATCCTAAGCAATTACTATTAAACATAGTAGATACTTCCCTTTTCCTTATTGTGTGTCTCCATCCACAAGATAGGTGATTTTGTCTGTTCTGTTCACTGCCATATCCCCAGCCTCAGAGACAATACCATGAAACAGTGGGCACTTAAATATTTGTTAAATAGGCCACAATTAGATATCATGCAATTATTTGGTTGCAATTTAAAAGTTTGTGGTTCTACATGTTAGTAGGGATGGGGTCCACTAGGAATTCTAGCTCATCTCTATTTTGGAGAACAGTTTGACAATATCTGAAAAAGTTTATGATATGTGCACCTAAGAAACCAGCAGTATTTTTATGGGTTGTATCTTTATTTACATAAGTAATATAGTATACTAAAAATCAGGATCATTCTAAGGAATGTGGTTAGCCTATCTAGAGGATACTCAATATTTTATGATCAGAGAATGAACTCTACCTCTCAAAAGAGAATCAATATAGTTGTACTGAAACACATACAAAGAGCTTGGCAGTTATTAGGATTATGCTATGGTGAGAATAAATCAATAAGTCAGCAGCAGAGAGAAGAAATGTAAGTGCATAGCAAAAAATATGACAATTTCGGGGTTGGGGTTATGCCTCAGCACTCGCCTCGCACCTGCAAGGCCCTGGGTTTGATCCTCAGTACCACATTTAAATAAACAAAGTTATTGTGTCCAACTACAACTACAAAATATAAATATTTAAGAAAAAAATATGACAATTTCAATCACCCAAGAAAATAACCACAAATAAACAAGCCATTTGAGAAGAAATCAGAGATAAGAAAAATAGACTTAAACCAATGTGCCAAATTTTAAGTTACATCAGTAAAATGCTAAAATAACCACCAAAATCATAAGCTAAAGGGCATGCCTACTGGGTTAGACTAGAATGTTTAATTGCATTCAAACATTTACAAAGTATCTCTTGTTACCAGATATTCTCCAACTACTGACTATACAATTGATTGCATTAAATCCACATATAGTGCATGATTTCATTGCATTACTTTAATTTTCTCCTCCTGGATCTTTTGGCCAAATGGTTTATAAAAACAAACTAATCAGCCATATTTTATGTCTATTCCCTTTCTCCCACCTTGAATAAAGGAGCTTATAATCCCATAATTGACCAAATTCAGGTAATAAGAGCAAAGTACTCATTTGGTGAAATTCCTTAGGGTTACCAGTACTTGAACAGTCAATGAGTTGAATGCCATCTGAAAATCTATTCCTATGTGCATCACCTATCAATGACACCAAAATCAATCTTACAGTTTTGACTCACAATTTAATATTCTACCAATTCTTTTCCTACTCAGAAGTTCATTCCATTAATCTTGGAAAAGTATGCATCAAATTACTATTCTTGGTCTGGCGTTGGTATTCAAAACCAACATACGAAAAAAAGGAAGAACTCAACCGCAGCATAAGAGTTGTGGGGAAGAAAGAATTCAAAACAAATTGAAATATTTCCATTTTATTTCTCTCCCCACATTTTCAACCTTTAAGTATTTTAACCTGGAAATAGTATTTCTATTGAAGTTATTCACATGTTGTTGGAACAAAATAATTCAGATATCTTGTACACTTCACCCATTCTCCCTATGCTAACATTTTGCAAAACTACAGTATAATATCACAACCAGGATAGAGACACAAGAACATTGATATGATTTGCCAATCTTATTCAGATTGCCCCAGTTTCATACTCATTTGTGTATATTTGTGTGCAAGTTCTACACAATTTTATCACTTTTATAGGTTTGTGTATCTGCCAACCCAGTCAAGATACTGAACCACACTCCATCACAAGGGTCCCTCATATTACCCTTTTATAGCCAATTCACCTTTATCCTCAGAGTCGGACAACCACTAATCTCTCCTCAATTTATCGTTGAAATTGTCATGCCATATCCTACTAGGGAGTGGCAACTGTGCTCCCAGCCCTCCTCCACTCTTTCTTATTACTGCTCTTCAGTCTCACAGATAGGAGCCAATCTTTGATAACAGCTAATCATGAAAAGGATGGATTGATATTATTGATAGAGAAGATGATCCAATGCAAAAAAAGAAGGTTCTGGTGTTCAGGGGCTCTACTGTATACATATCCACTTAATATGCATACTTCAGGCTACAAAAGAGAGAAAACATATCCTAGAAACTGTAAATACTGATTTTTCTAAAATCAGAGAGAAAACTTATTTTTCCTGAGACACCAAATTTAGCCATAGAAAGGGTCAGCATTTTCCACTTACATAAAGTATTTCACCCATCTTAGAGATTTTAGTCATTCTACATCAGTACATGTAAACCCCAACTTCCACTTACACATCATTTTCCCCTTGCAAACTATTAGAAACACTCCTTTACTTGAATTTAAAATCCAAAGAAAGAAGGATGAACTACTAGTTATAAAAGTGCAATTTAAAAAGCAACAACAAAAAAAATGCCTATGCAACTACTACAGGACTAGTCAAGTGTAATTCATACCTGCAGAGCTCAAGAGGACACTAAAATCTGTCCCCCTCTGTGATTCTCCACTTTCATTATTGATTTCTTTTTCAGTATCTTGATATCGATCCCAGTTAGAGATGATCTTTCTTCTAGAATAATTTCCCTGTTCATAGTTTTCATCTCTAGAGGTTTCTGTATCACTGTCATCTTCAACCTGCAATCATTAGAGACAAATCAATAAACAGGGGAAAGCTTGACTTCAGTAGCCTCCGTAGTAAAATAATTTTTAAAAAAATACACAGGTATCACAATAAAGACTAAACGTATAAACCAAACTGTCAGAGGATATTAAATAACATTTTCAACAAACTCCATTATACCAGAGTGTTGTTTCAGGGTAAATTTTTTAGTAAGCATTGAAAAGGAAATATGGCAAGTTACTGCATGAACATTTGTGTAACTGGTCCCTCTAAAACCTATCCCTATGTCATATCTCAACAGCTGTTTCATCTAGTTGAAATAAATCAAGGCTGAAAGAGTCTTCAACTCAAAGGACTTCAGGATAGAAATTAACTTTCAATTTACAAATTTTACAAACATGTTATAAATATGTTTTATAAACTTTAAATGGAAATCCTGATCAGATAAATTCTAGAGAAGTTTCCAGTCTTGAGAATCTGGTTAAGAGAACATATTAAAAAAAAAAAAAAATGCAGATTATGAGAAATCCTCGAATAGAAAGGGCCCAGTTTCATTGACAAATAAATTGCAAGGGAAAAAACAGTGGGGGAGAGGATGGAAATCTATAGATTAAAAGAGTTTCATAGGCTGGAGATGTAGAGCTCAGTGGTAGAGGTTTATCAGCATATACAAGCTCTGGGTTCCATCCCAGCACTGCAAACAAAAGGATCAGGGTGCAATGGACACAAGCAGTTGTGACATCAGGAACTCATCTGTACTCTGACTCAAGCAATCTAACCAAAGACAACTGGGACAATGTGAACAATGACTTGATAATTGATTACATTAAGTATATACTAGTAATTTTATTATTTGTTTGGTGTTAAACTATGGATGAAAAGATATGGCACTTGGAATTTGCTTCAAAATTGTGGGTAGGAAGAATAGCAAGTAGAAATGAAAAACTCCACATGATTGATCATTGCCAAACGAGGATAATGAGCACATGGAAATTCATTATACTATTGTTGTACGTACTTTTGCATGTTTGAAATTTTCCATAACACAATTTTTTAAAAAGAAGTGCACATGAAACCTAAAGGCACAATTCAAATAAGTTTCCCAAAGATTGTAAAATCCTTATTAAGTTTAAAAAAAACCTCTAGAGAAATATTAAAGCAACCCATCTATACAGAACAGGTTAGCATAAGCTTGAGGTTTCATGTTGTTTTTAAACACAGAAATAAGTCATGTTCATTTAATTATGAGGAATAGAAGCAAAACTAAAAAGCCTTGCATTCCCAACACCCAAAGCATCAAAAACCTTAGGGCACATATTTCCAGATCTTTTTTCTCTTATATTTACATAAACTTTTTGGTCACCAGATTTTATTAGAAATCTATATTCTCCACCTCTCCATGTCAATAAATTTCATTTCATATAACATCCAGACTATTTTAAAACCCCCCAAAATTCTTTACAGCTTGTTTTTCCAGCCAAGTAACTCAATTCATAATTATGCATTATATCTGACTGCTCATCCCCAAGGCTTTGAATCTAGCACAATCCCCATTTCTATGACATTGATTCACTGACAGGCCAGATATAGTGTGGAAAAAATCTCCTGTTCAACTACTACTTTGTGGTGTTATTGACAAGACTTTTTTAAATCTCCATTATTACCTATAAACTAATCTTTAAAAATCTAAAGCTCAATAGAGTCTAGTTAAATAATTTTAGGTTAAAACACATCATAGATGATGTTCTGAACCTTATGCCACATTACATCAGATGACAGATAATAGCTACACCAACCTAAGTAACATGGATTGCCCAAAGGGTTTGGGTAATAAAGTCTGACCCATACACTGCACAGATCTATCTTCTTTCTTCCATCTAGGAAATTCTGTATGGTGTCATTTTGGTCCTTTAAATGTCTAGTTACCCATTAAGCATTCACCCAACAAATTTAACACTAGTCAGTAGTCCCCCATTGATTCAAATTTCATAAGCTTTCATGAAACCATGGACTAATTGGCCTTTCAAGAACACTTTCAGCCCTTAAGTATTATCAGCCTCCTGTCCAAACAAGAAAATGGCAATTTATATCATCATCTAGGGACTGCAAAGATAGTATAAAACCTGAAGGTTTCCTGCCATTTCTGAAAATTCTGAGAACCAGAAGATGCTGGTGGAATAAAAATATATGATTAAATGGCATCTGATGTATAAATTTCAAGTACCAGGAACGTTAGGGGGAAAAAAACAGCTTTATAACTGATGAGAATTTAGGGGATAGAACTAGAGCTGAAAATACTGACAGGGCTTAATCTGGGAAAATCCAATATTCTTTTGTTGTCCCACTGGGTAAATAAAGCTCAGGGAGGCTTCTCCAGTTAGTCCAAAACCTCTAAACAGAGCTATGACACATGGCAAAAATGGACACCTGGGCAAAATAATTATCTTGATCTGAAAGCAAATTATGATCTGAAACACCCTAGGAACCACTGCTGCAGTGAAACAAGCACTAAAATGGAAGGCAGGAGACCCAGATAGGATTAATGGCCCTGCCATTACCATCATTTAATACTTACTAAGTGTTTATAATAGCCTGGACCTCATGCAGATGAATGACTCACTGATCCCCAAATTAGAAGAATCCCTAAACAAGGATCTCATTACCCCCACCCAAATGCAAACACAGAGTCGTCATTAGGTCTCCCTCAAAGAGATTACTAATAAGTAATAAAACAGAATTTAGAAGATAGTTATAAGTTAGAGAAAGGTACACCATAGAATTTCCAAGAGATTTCATTATGCAAAGATCTAGAACAAAATTAAAATATGCCAAGCCTCAAAATGGAGGGAAAGGACAGAGCAAATGAGAAAATACTGATGAAAGTAGTGTGAAAACTAAATATAAAAGGCATTGCTTTTATGTTAACATCATTTTGAAATGAGTATGGTAATTTTCACTTTAACATTTCATACCTGGGCACGGGTCATTGGTTGCAGTGTTCATAAAGTAACAGGAAGCCAATTAGGTTAACAAGGGAAAGATCTATTATATGATTAAATTACTGTTGAGCTATTATTTTGTCCAATGGCACCAGGGAAAAAAAAAAATCCATTTAGAACAAATTGAGATTCTCAACCAGAAAGGATAATTTAATGTTTTGCAGTTCTTCTAATAGGCAAGGGTCAATTTGACTTCAAACTTCAACTACCCTACAGAATAGAGATGGAAAAAATTATTCCATAGATGACTAGGCAGAGCTGACAATAATCTAAAACTCAAGGAAGGAAAGCCAGGACAAGAACACAGAATCTGGCATCTGTTTGTAGGTGATCAGTCTCTGAGCCTGCAAACCAAACAAAAGGCTACTCTAAAACTCTACTGAAGAAAGCACTACATTACCATAAAGAACTACAGCCTATATTCAATCATCTAAATCAATGAGATTCAAACCCATTAAATTCACAAAGATCTTAAAATGTAACCATAATCAATAATTATAACCTTCTTTATCAAACTACTTACCAGCACAGCTAGTCGAGTATAAATTTTTTGTCTTACCACTTTTTTTGGCCAGGTGTGGTGGGGTACACCTGTAATCCCAGCACTTTGGGAGGTTGTGGGGGATCAAGAGTTCAAGGCCAGCCTAAGAGGCTTGGCAAAGCCCTAAAAACTTAGTGAGACCCTGTCTCAAATTTTAAAAAAAAAAAAAAATGGATTGGGGAAGTAGCTCAGTGGTAAAGTGCCCCTGGGTTTAATCCCAAGTACCAAAAAAAAAAAAAAAAGTCTTATCACTTCCTGAGTCATTTTAGGTAATATCATTAAAAAAAAAAATAATAATTAACAGATAGTCAAAAAAAGAACAAAAAATAAGACTAGATAATCAATTTTCCAATAATAGTGAATGACATAACAACTCTTTCATTCGTAGGAGAGTCAACAACCCTCTACATACAAACACTGTACAGCAGAACATAACTCAGCCAAGGTCTCTTTCTAAAAAGGCTTGCTTTTTCCCCCATTGTCCAATGCTATGTTCCTCATTTCTGAGACCTACCCAGAATCACCTTTGATGTCCATATTTCTGTCAACAATCTCTTCAAGGCAATTTAGGCTTCTTATATCATGTATCTCAGAATTCTTCCAGCCACTACCCATTTATTCAATTCCAAAATCACTTCCGCATTTTATGCTATAGGTTACATCAGCACCCCACTTCCCAATACCAAAATCTATATTCGTTTCCTAGGGATTTCTTAACAAAATATCACAAACTAGGTAGTTTAAAACAAATTTTTTCTCATGTTCTGAAGGCTTGAAGTCTGAAATCCAGGTGTTCGCAGAGTTGGTTCCTTCTAGAAGTCCCAAGGGAGAACCTGCTCCATGACTCTCTGCTAACTTCTGGAGGCTGCCAGCAATCCCAGGCCTCTGTTGGTTTATAGACCCATCACTCCAATCTCTATTATTTTCACATGGAATTTTCTCTTCTGTGTGCATGTGCACACCTTGTTCTCGTCTTATGAGGACACCAGTCATAATGGACTAGTGTTCATCTCAGTCCAGTAGGACCTCATCTTATCTTGATTTTATCTGTAAAGAACCTACTTCCAAATAAAGCTACATTCACAGAATCTGGGAATTAGGAATTCACTGTATCACAGTTTTCATGGAAAAATTCAACACACAACAGGAATAAAAATATTTTGAAACATAATGGCTAAAAAATTTCCCAAAGTTGATGAAAAATCTTAATGTACATAACCAACAAACTCCCAAGTAGTATAAACACAATGAGATCTACAGAATAAAAATTCTCCCAACCAAGAAGAAAATCTATTAGGAGGAGAAAAAAAAAAAGAAAAAAAGAAGTATTAGGAGAAAATGATCATTACAAAGCAACCCAAAAAAGACTAATGGCTGACTTCTTATCAGAAAGAATAGAGGCTAAAAGGCAATGCTGTGACATATTCAGAGTGCTGACAGAAAACTGTTAACCAAGAAAAATCAAGCTATCTTG